TCTCTCTCTCTCTCTCTCTCTCTCTCTCTGTGTCTGTCTCTCTCTGTCTCTCTCTGTCTCTCTCGTTCTCACTCAGACGTTTAATTCTTTATATTATGCCCTTAAAGTCTGATGTACTACGAGACAAGGCACATAAACTACGCATTCATTTCTTTGTCCTTGTGTGGTAGTATGGTATTGCGAACAATGTTGAATGGATCTCCTTTCACTTCCATATTTCATCAGTTGTTAATACTTTTGTGTGCGGAAAAACACTAATGCTTTATCTATCCTCTGTTACACGAGTATCCTGTTACAATTTTCTCTCAATTGAGCATTAGCTTTTACTAGATGGAATGGATACTATGTTTTCTGGTTTGATCAGACATTAACAATATTACAATTTAACATTATTTTGTGCAAAAGTTGAAACCCCTAGCAACAATATGTTTTATTATCAATTTTGTCTCTGAGAATTTTGGAAGAAGAACAATCACTTTCAAGGTTGCCTGTAGTGGTGATTTATTTTTATTTTAAAATACATATTTTGAAAACGATCCTTCTTCCTGGTCGCAGTCTTTGCTTTGTTATTATACATCTATTTGTGATATAAATTTCTTTCCCTTTTTTGAAAGAGTAAGTACTCTAAGCCTTGAGGACTATCATCATAACTCAATAGATGGCACCAGACACATACGAATGGTGGAATTTTGTGGATTTGGGCGTGACTAATGGACTCACTACATACTAACGGTACACTACGTTAGAATTACAAAATTCTGTTTGACATCTTGAGCTATTAAGACCATGAGATCAGAGGTCAATAATGTTCTATCAAAATCGTACGATTATTCGGAGTCGTTATCAAGATGTTCAAAGAATTGCATTCGAAAAAGCTTGACAGGTTGTGAGACTTAAAATTGTTAATGTCACATTTCTCAAAACTAGATGCGCAGCAGACAGAACTTTGTAATTCTAAGGAAACGAAGAGGTGCAGCTCCCATGATGGTGCAAAAAATATAACTCATGGCTACTATGATATAACCATCCTTTACTACTTACTTTCCTTTTCCTTCTTACTTTCCTTTATCTACCTCATTCTTTTTACTTACCACTGAGACTGCTGTCGAATTGACTTTTCATTACTTTTGTTCCTTTGTTTGTTTGGGTAAAGAGAAGCATATTGACACAATAACAGTCGTTTAGTTCTGGTAAAAAGTATAACAGACAGACAGAAACAACAGGGGGACAGTAAAGAAGTAGGAGCTACCAGTGGTGCCTTCCAACCACCCAAATAGCTTTTCATAATATCTGTTGGGATATGTGGTTGAGGAGAAAGAAAAGAGAAAAAAAAAAAGAAAAGGACTATGATGTAGGAAATAAACTGTACTGTTCTCGCTCTAGATAAGCTCGATGGGTGGTTGGCGGGAGCTCTGGTGTGGTTTGCTCCTTCTACCTTCCTACCAAACATCTATCGTCCTTATCTCCCCTCCTTCTATTTTGTGTTTGTTACTCTCTTGTAACACTTCTAATCATCCGCGCTTATATGACCTTATTGTGTTGGAAGTGCCATAAAACACTTACTAAAACTAACCTAAAACTAAGATAAGCTAGATGAGCTGTAATTTATTTTTGTTGTTTTTCTGTCTCCCTCTTAGATCCTGACGTCCTGCGACTGTTTGTCAACGTGTCCTCGATGGTTCTTCCACCGGACTCCGATCTCGTTCTGGTGAACATCACGTGGTCTCCCATCGTGAACCAATCGGTAGCCTTCTACAACGTGACGACATTCGTGGAGAACTACCCGTTCAACGTTCAGCAGACGTCTACATCTCTGTCGCATGTGTTGCTGCGGTTACAACAGAACACACAGTACCACGTCCAGGTAAACTTTATACGGGTTCTAGAGTAGATGTCATCGGGCATAGCCTGACCACTTGTCTGTGAATTCCAGGATAAGATTAGTTTTTGCTATCATCATCCTCCTCCTCCTCCTCCTCATCATCATCATCATCATCATCATCATCATCATCATCATCATCATCATCATCACAACTTACACAGCCACACAGGAAAGCACAGAAACGTCCACTATCGCTCTCATTTGTTATATATACCTTCACATACATAGGCAAGCTGTTAAAATTATAATAAACCCAAAACCCAAAATTTTGAATTCTTTAACAGTGTACTTTCTTAATCTGTCGCAACTGTTGCATCTGCTCAACAAACATTTCGTCGAAGTTCAACCTCTAAATGTTGACAAAAAGCAAGAAAGAGAAAGAAAATACATAATGTATGTACAACTGTCAGAAGAATGAAACAGAGTTTTTCCCTCTCTCTCTCCTGTAAAATTGTGCATTCTGAGCATAATACATACTAAGGGCTTGCCGACGATGTACTTCGTGTCCGCACCATCCAATAAAACTATCATAAGCAACAATGTCCATATCATTATGGCCCTTGCTTCCTCCCTTCACTTCCCACACCACCTTAGAGCCCACATATCGCCTTCAGATGT